ATACGCGGTAACTCCATACTAAAAATATTCTTAGCGTCCAGAAACAAGTTATCAGTTTTGGCTCACTGAAGACAAGTGTTATCTTCAAAAAAAATTCAAATCAAGAACGGCTGCTTGGGCAATTGTGAGTACGACTTCCCTCCGATAACAAGCGATAGCCACAAAACCATCCTTAACCCCTTGGGTACGGATTTATTTGAGAAAATATTTGCATGTGAAACGGATATAATTTTTGGTTGCTTGGAGTAGAATGTAAAAGCAGTACATTTTACGTAAGAATTTATTTATTTCTAAAATATTGATGACATATGTAGTATTAAGATGTCTTCAAGTAATTAGAATTGCAAAACAAAACTAAATTAATAACAACAAAATAAAACTAAATAAAATAAATTCAAGCTATAATAGAAAACCAATTTCTAATAATTATGCAGAGTGTGATATTTTTCAAAGCAAGTAAGTAAATGCAGTGCTACTTTGCATTGTTTGCACTGCCACGTAATCTCTTTACTAATATTATGCTTATAACAAACACGGCACCTTTTTCCAGAGTGTTGCTTGGACTTAGTTGACGGAATATTCTCAGGAAAGTGTGCCCAATGTTTCGCTGCCAAACGAAATGGTGTATCGCTACTTGACGGGCGTCCACGACGTTTATAATTTGGCAATGACAATTGCTCCAGCAATTCTGCGGCAATAGCTAAGCGAAAGGAAGTAATGCTTGCCTTGGTTGTACAGTTGATTTTAGAGTATAAAACATGAGCATTATAAAAGGCCATATCTATTAGATAAAAAAAACATTTTCTTATAATCCTTTACACATTTTCTTAGAACTGGGAAGCACGCTCAACGCCTCCCATACCTTTATTATACTCAAGCACAGATGCCTGTTTTATAATATTTTCGCTATCACCACCTTCATTTTGTTTTTTGCCTGCGTTTATCAAATCAGCATTTGAATGTTTCGTGCTAAGTATGTGAATCATCCGCTCCTAGGGAAAACAAGTGAATGACGTCTCTCAGACGTCAAATGTACCCAAGAGTTTAATTTTTGGTTTGACGTCTTAGACACGTCATCCGACCCTAGGAGGAAAAAAGTGAATGACGTGTCTCAGACGTCAAATGTACCCAAGGGGTTAAAGATGTTCACCTGTGTGCGATATTCCATTCAAACTGAGGCGGGGATTATGATGTTGACATCACTGAAGGTCTTATATTCGGTGATTTTCTGAGCTTGATTATTTCTGTAGCATTTTGAATAGACACTTAGCATCCTTCAATCTCATTCCGGAGTCTATCTGAATTTGTCCGTTAACAAGATGAGGTAGTGTAACATGGATGTTGACAGCGCTACTTTGATCTTGCGTCTCTAAATCGGCTGGGTGTTGGAACACAGAAACGTGGCACTCAGGCGTGCAGTTTCTTCAATGTGAAGTCTCCCGCTCCCAATACTAGCAGATATTGCGTTAGATGACGCTGTAAAAATCGATATAACAGTTGTGAAGGTCACACCTCGATTCCGTTTGCAACTACATCTTTATCCCTATCTTCAAAAGGCTGTCCGCCGAAAACATCGCGGCCGGAAACGCCGCGGAGATGACAACGCAAAACGAAAACGTCGTGGCATCGCAGTTCTAAATTATCGCAGTACAAAATAGCGTCGTCAAAAATAAAGCGGTTCAAAAACTTCGCAATTTATAAACATCGTTGTTCAAAATATCGGGGTAAAAAATAAAGTACCCAACAAAACATCGCATGACGATAACATCGCAAACATGCGTTTTTTCAAGCTTTAATAACTGTGAAAGGATACTCGCATAATAATTTATGAGAGCAAGATGGAAAGAAGGATAATTTTTGCATTCATATTTTATTATTAACTGATAAACATTTCTGAGAATATAAAATGGGAACTTAAGCATGGAAAATTAGTGCAACTTATAAGCATTCAATAGAATTTGAAACTGGCATAGCTAACAAACGCCATTAATAAATTTTTTTATAAAATTTCACTGGTAATTTTTTATGAAAAGTGTAATCTAAAAAAGGTTGCAAAAGGAAGATAAGTAACTGCATTGGCCTTATCTATAAAGAATTGCTACTTTAATTATGAGATAATTTTCTTCAATTTTGTTAATCTGATACTCTTATAGTGAAACTTATTTCTTTTTTGCTTAAATTTCTTGTTTTGCTTTTTATAAATTTATTAGCTAATAAGAATTATCCTTCTTTGCATCTTTCGCTCACAGATAATTATACGAGTATTCATTTACAATTATTAAAGCCCGAAAGACGGATGCCTGCGATGTTAACGGGATGCTATGATTTGTAGGCACTTTATTTTTTACCCCGATGTTTTCCACTACGATGCTTTTAAACTGCGAAGTTTTTGAACCGCTGTATTTTCGACGATGATATTTTGTACCACGATGTTTTAGAAGTGCGCATATGCTTTATTTTATCTCACTAATATAAGCATATGCTTTATTTAATAAGCATATGCTTATTTATTTTATCTCACGATGTTTTGCGCCACGACGTTTTCGCCTTGCGTTGTTTCTCCGCAACGTTTTCGTTCGCAATGTTTTCGCCACGATGTTTCCGGCTGTAACCCTTCAAATTCATTATACTTCTTGGTGGAGCAATTACAAGTCTTCAGACAGATGGATTCTTTTTTAGTTTTCCCATTTGAGATATTATAGAATGATTAATGCCAAAGTAAGCAATGATGTCTTTGATTAACTTTCCTGTTTCAGTGCTTTTGATAGCAGGCCGGCGCTAATTATCTATCTATCTGTTGCCCTTCTTTCTGCCATGGGAACACCAACGTCATGAAAAACTATCACTGAAGGATGTAAACATGCCATAATAGCAATTACATAAACCTGCATCATTGAAACTCAAGAATACTGGGGTCTTCAACTACTGCCAAATTGGCGTATTGTTAGGACAATCCAACATGTGCTGCACAACAGACGATATTTGCATTTTTCTACCTTCATCGACAACGAATTTCAACCTCTCAATTTCTACACTCTGAAAAATTACTAATTTTATTTGGTTGCTTAACGTTTGGTATGCAGGGTATGGCTGTTTTTGTAGGTGTGGTAATTAGGAACTCCAGGCCAGCCATTTCAGAAATAATCCAAAACATGCTCCATAGTATGTTGTTTTACCTGACAATTGCACTCAAAAGATTTGGGCAAAGCTAAAGAATGAAATATTTGCATAGCTTTGATTTAAATAGCAACCAAGAAGTACAATATGAAGTTGCAGTTGATAAAGTAGAGCATTTTCGGGAAAAATCGTTATGAGATACATTCCGCAAGCGAAGAAGATAAGAATGACCTTGTATGAATAAAGTATAGCATTTTCGGGAAAAATCGTTATGAGATTAGCTGATTATACTCCTGAGGAATAAAAACAATTGAGTGTTTACCATACGTTCCATTCATATATAATTTAACAAATTAAGGATTAAATCTAGTTTAAATTACTGAATTAATGGTCAAATAAATTATTGTAAGTAAATGAAATAGACTGTTGCAGTTGTAAATAGTCGATAAGACCTACATGACGAACAGGCTTGTGTAGGGTTGCTTATGCTTAGTCGCCAGTATTTTCTCCCACGCCAGCGGTACACCATTGAGTAAGCGGTACACCATGCGCAGTAAGCGAAATTCGTTAACATTGATCAACTCAATGTGCGGTTTGCCATTAAGCTTCCGGGATTGACGGTCTAGTGTTTTTCATTTCTATTTTAGAAAAGTGTATATTTATTAAATTTGGAACAACAGATTACGTTCATTCCCCTAACAATTCATACAAATTCAAAACTGGTGACATGTTGATTATGCAAGCTATCGAACCATCGCAAAGCTTTTAGACCCTCTGTAGAATTATTGAAACGTTTCCTGGGAGAGATTGTCTAGTAAGATCCTGCGCTGTCAAACTGAACAGTCAAAAATTGAAAGGGGCAGTATAACATTTTTTATAACCTAGATATCCAAAAGTAATATATTTGTTGTTTTCTTAGACTTTGTAATTCAAATTTGCTACATTTTGCGTTTTTGTTTCAGATTAGGCATTTGAGAAGTTCTCAATGTACACATGGAAACTTCCTCATTTTTTTGGCATAAAAATTTTTTGGCATAATAATTAATTGAGTGTTCATTTCTTAGCAAATTGTATATTTTTCGAGTTAGCGAATTTTTTCAGCAATCTTCAATTTTACTATTACATTATATTTCTTTTTTGTCGTTTTAGATTTGAACATTGAGTAATTTAACGGGTTTAATTGATATGAGAATAAATAAACTTCTTCTTTTTTCGAACAAAATATCTGATTGATGTAATCTGAACTATAGTTGAAGTTAGTAACCATTTTAATTTTGTTATAATATTTAAAATTTTACATGGCCATCTCTCGCTACAAAAACTGATGATGCATTGAATGCCAGTAACCGCTCAAAGCGTAACTATAAAAACAATTTTTAAATGGAAAACTGCACTTTCCTTTCGAAGAAGAGCTTAGAGAATTCAACGATGATAAATTTATTTCTGTATTTAAACTTACTGCCGACCTTCTCTCTCCTAGAAGGGTTGATGGATCTCTCCTAAGAACTTCCAGTTTCATATGATTGACTCATAATTTTAGGTCAATCGTGTGTTTCTGAACATGCGTGCGGCTGCGAAAGCTTTATCTGAAAAATATAAAATTTATGGTAGCTGGTTGTCTCATTTATTACATTTATTACTGAAAGCAACGACTCATTTATTACTGAAAGCAACAACTCATTTATTACTGAAAGCAACGACTTCTAGTAACTCCATTTCTAGTAAGTTTTTCTGCTAAAAATGTGTTATAAATACATTTTATACTAGATTAAAAAATGACTGATATTCTTGTGGTTAGATTGAGTTTCTTATGGTCAGAAAAACACTAAAAGTCATCAACAACAAGCTTTTAAATTTTATTAAGATAAAAATAATTGCTGGTAAGTGCAGAAGAGCATAAAAATTTAATATGTATTAAAGTTTGCATAAATAGTATTCTTAAAGAGATAATACGAGTATAAACATGATGCTAAAATAAATTACAAATATAATGTTTTTTGAAATTTCCATTGTTTGTTATGTAGCATATTCAGTCAGACTCATCTACCAAACCTTGGCACTTGTTTCTTCGGTTCATTGCTGAATCTGCTTTGCAACCAAATTCTTTTGCAAACTCTGCTTGATTAGAAATTGCCCCATTGACTCTATAAAAGATTAAGTATTTTCAATACATTTATGTAGAACACGTTTTCAGGTCTTTGAATCTGTTTTTCTAAACTTTTAGCATATTCCGATCAGAAATTTAATATTTTCCATCTGCAGTACTAATATACATATTTTCAAGTACCAATCAGGATTATTTCAGAAATATTCTCATAATTTGCATAAAAACATTTCTTTTTCTCTTACCTAAATTTTTGTGGACTGTGTACCAATGACAAAATGAAATACTTGAGAATTTCCGGCCTTAAATTGTCACACCATGACTGAAATATTTTAGTAAAAATAATATTAAACACATACATTTGGCAATATACGTATATTTACACATACATTTGGCAATATACATAGTCGTGCCATGAAATCTTAAGTTTAAAAGGTGCCTTCATGAAATGATACTTAAAAATGTTAGAAGTATGAAAGGTACTTAAACAAGATAACTATTTAATACTAAATATTATTATGTATAAATTTTTATTATTATGTAATATTTAATCAAATGATTAGAAAGTACTTTTAAAGAAATATATATTAACCTAAAATTTACTCCAATTTATATCAGGTAATTTAAATTTGTAATGTAAATTACTATATCGTTTGAATACTTTTGAAGTAAACCAACCGATAAATAACCAACTACAAAGTTGAATCTTTTGCAGATTTTATGAGTAAATGTTATAAAGTAGCGGAAGATAAATTTTCTTTCTTATATAATTGATTAAAACAACGATACATAGAATTTAACATAATTATAGCGTGAGAATAATCAATCGAATCTGTACGTTTTAGAATTTCCTTTTAAAAATTGTAAATATCTTAATAGCAGCTAAATTCACGTTTAAATTTTGATGCTGCATTATAAGGTCTGTAGTAGCAAAGCATTTGTGCATTCTTTAATTTCATAATATTTTTAATTACTTTAATATACATACTGCATTTTCTGATTCTTGTTAATTGATAAACCACCTAACCGTGCAAATATTTAAGGTAATGATGCAGTGTATCTAGTATAGCTTTCTAAATATTGTGTTGTAGTAGCTCCTTTTAAAAATATTAAAAGCATAAAATATAAAATATAAAAATTCCTAAGACAACAAAGCCTAATAATTTTGCTAAAAATTAAAACATTCTCTACAAAATTCCTAATATTGTTTAATCAATCGTTTGAAATACCTGGATTTAAAATATATAGGAGAAAACAAAAAATCATTTAATTTAAAAAATTAATAATCAAAGAATTTTAACCAAAATTTTAAAAAATAATAAAAATAGCAACCTTGATACTTATTGCGCAGCTGAATAAAAGTATCTTAATAAGCATAGTTTTAATGATATTAAAATAGAAATAAAAGTTTTTCCAAACTCTCAAGCTAAAAGTAATTTATCCTTGTGAACTCAATATAAAATAAACTTAATTACGGTACAAACATCTACAGAAATATATGATTTTTTAAAAAATAATTCTGAAAGAAACTGCAGGAAGAAATAGTCAAAGACCACCGGTACATTCTGAAATTTCATCTTAATTGAAATAAAAGCTTTACTTTACTCTGTTTGCTAATTCAGAAGACAAACAACAAAAATCAGCGTTATATTTACAAAATTTCCACAGGACTAGTTTCGATGGTTTTACCGAACCACCATCCTCAGCTGCAAAACCGCAAATGAACAAGATAGGAAAAAATGATTAGATAAGATAAGAAAGCAAGAATAAGCAAGTGGACAAGAATAAGCAAGTGGCGCCATCTGTTGGTGAAACCAGAACTAAAACATAATTTCTTTAAAGGCCGAAGGAAAATTTGGATTGGAATTAGGATCGTTAACTAGAACAGAAAGATTTTTATGAATGTGAAATGCCTCTAGAAAATCCAGTTCTCCAATGGAAGATGTTTTGGAATTTTCATGGAAGATGTTTTTGAATAAGGGCAGCAGAAAAATTGAAAGTGCGATTTTCGGACCAACAATGTTGCGCAACAGAAGAAGACTTCTGTGTTTCCTTTTTTCTAACATATGCCTCATGTTCCTTGACGCGAAATTTTAAGGCTCTCTTAGTTTGGCCAATGTAAATTAAACCACACTGGCAAGGAATCCTATAAATACCCCAGGAATTCATATCCGGAATAGGGTCCTTAAGTATGGAACTCGGAATTTTATTGATGGGAGAATAAACAACCCGAAAGTTAAATTTCTGCAAAATATGTGCAACTTTATAGCTAATTGATGGAAAGAAGGGAATGACAACAGAATTTTTATAATCTCCTAAGACAAGAGTGTGCCTTTTAGTATGTTGAGATGATTTTTGTTGTTTGACTTCTGAATTAGTATTTATTCGGCGTGTTATTGTGTCTTAATTACTCTTTGTTTCGCACAAGCGATAGCGAACTCGATCCTTAGTCGAATTCTTTTACAAAATGTCACTGTGGGCTTCAAAATATTATTGCTTTTTAATTATTTTTCATTCTATTCTTGTATTATGATTTTTAGTGTGCTGATTCTTATTTTCCTGCAAGAAGGTACTTTAGTGCATGATCTAATGGTATGCAAATAGTAATGGACTGTCGCCAATAGCGCGATAAACAGTGTAATCTGGACATCCTGCAAAGTAGTTAATTTTGGGACTCGCATTGTTTTTCTCACTCCTTGAGGAAAGGACAGTGATATGACACTCTCTGTTATATAACTCTCTTTTTTAAGAATTATAGATTCAGTTCCGATTCTGCTCTCGCTTCAAGAGCCATAATGAGCTTATCGTAAGAACTAGGCATTAAACAAAGCAAAAGTGCTGAAACCTGTTCGTCTTTTATGTCCTCCCTTGTTGATTTGAGTTTATCGAACTAACTCCAGTAATGTATTTATATGTGTTTGCATATTTCCATCTTCCTCAAGCTTCAAACTGTAAAGCTTCGCAAAAGGAAAGAAAAGGAAAGATTCGCAAAAGAAAAGATAGTTTACTTGAGAGGTTTAGACCTTTCATGTACCTACCTGAGTTTTTCTCAGGAGGCTTTAGAAGTAGTAGTTTAATGTTTAATGTGGATTATTTGGCTGTCTTCGATAAATAAATTTATCATCTCGCGACATTGCCGATCCCGTTTCAGCACTTTTGCTTTGTTCAACGCCTAGTTCTTATGATACGCTCATTATGGACTCTTGAAGCGAGAGCAGAATCGGAACTGAATACAGAATTCCTAAAAGGGAGTTATATAATAGAAAGTGTCATATAATAATCAACCGAATCTGTACTCTTTACAATTTCCTTTTAAAAATTGTAAATATCTTAATAGCAGCTAAATTCACGTTTAAATTTTGTCGCTGCATTATTATAAGGTCTGTAGTGGCAAAGCAAGTGTGCATTCTTTAATTTCATGATATTTTTAATAACTTTAATATACATACTGCATTTCCCGATTCTTGTAAATTAATAAACCACCTAACCGTGCAAATATTTAAGGTAGTGATGCAGTGTATCTAGGGTAACTTCCTAAATATTGTGCTGTAGTGTAGTAGCTCGTTTTAAAAATGTTAAAAGCATAAAATATTTTCCCTATCTTTTCTTTTCTGAATATGCCCAGGGATGCTGATTCTCTGTACACAAGAACTGCTCATGCCATGAAAATTTCAACTACCATGACGAATCCATCTGCCATGTAGAATTTAATTGTTATATAATTGCTTTTTTCATCGAAATATTTCCGTTTAGCGGATTCTCACGAACTTTATGTTTCGAAGTAATGTTACACATGTGAGTATATGGTAGCAAAGGTCTTCGGGCCGATGACTTCGCTACATAACCGATGATATATCAATCTACCAAAAAGGTATTTTTTTTCCCAGAGAAAGCAAAACAATTAATTAAATAAAAAAATTCGCTCTTAAAACAAAAAAAATCATACAACATTAAGATATTTTTAGATAATTTTTCTCCAAAGGACAATATTATCATTGATATTATAAAAGACATTTTTAAGTACAAATTTTATGTGATATAAAATAAAGCCTTACTAATTACGGCAAAGTTTACTCCATCCATCAAATTAAATGAAACTCATCAAAATTATTAAACAAAAAGAAGTATTTCCGAATCAATAGTTTAAACACTAAAATTTACATTAAACGTAACAAAAAATTAGTGAGATTCTTACTAATCGCGATAATAACCAGAAATTGACACTCCCAGCTTTTGTCAAAATATTAATTACAAAATATATATTTATATATATCCTAAAGTATATTATCATAGCTGTTCTCAGTATTACAGAAAATAAGCAAATGAAAGGACTCACAAAACTGCGAAGTAAAAATGGAGGTAATTATAACCTTAAAATTAAAAAATATCTCGGTAAAAATTTAAAAAATCTTGGTAAATTTAAATTCAACTTTAATCAATTTATATAACAACCAGTTATAAACACATCTTTCTGCTTAATGCTATTGAAGAATGAAGAGTTTATCAAAACATCAAATTAAACTTTAGTATAGGTTAATTTATCAAACCAAAATCTAATTTCAGGGAAATCAGAAAACTCAGATATAAACTTATCAAATGTAAACGAAGTTTAGTGTTATTTGAAAGAAATTGTATTAAAAAATTATATAAAAAGTATTAAAATTCGAAATTATATACAAAAATAACTCTTATCTGACGAAAACATCATTATCAAAAATCTCAAATTTTACAAAAAAAAAATTTGAAGTTCTGCGCAAACTTCATTGCAATGCCCAAATTTTACAAAAATTTAATTGGTTTCAAATTCATTGCTAATGGACTTAAGCTCTTTAAGCAGTTGATTGAAGCTTTGCCAATATTCTCAAAAAATTTTCTCGGCCTGTTAAAAATGACATTACTAAAACTATGTTTGATTATTGATTTATTTATAATAAAAAATATATCATACAAACCATTCTAGAAATTTCGATTTTTAATACTTACTCTTACGACATTGAATATACACCTTTTTATCATTAAATGACAGTAATATTAGTCTCTTTGAACTTCATAATTTATTCCTAGTAATTAATAAAATTGTTAAATTAAGAACTTGGGCAACCTACCTCAGTTGACAGTATATCATCATTTGGTTAAATTTCTTGCAGCAAGTTAATGGTATTTTTATTGAGAGAATCTACAAATTTGTGTAACATTTTTCATTTTGTTAAATAGTTTAACTCGATAATCTTAATGTTCTTGACCTGTTTAAATTAACTTTCAGATATATTGATGAAAAAATCGCCATTAATAATTTTAATGAAATTGAAAAGCAGCAAATTTAGCCTAAGCGCTTTAATCTAAATAAACGTTAAGGAAACAGAAGGAGAGTGTTTATACACTTTAACCAAATTAAAATATTTGATATTTGACAAAAGAAGATTACTTAATTTCAAATTCATTCACCATCTATTACAACTTACATTTGGAAGAACAAAATTTATTGGTAAAATAAATTTGTCAATTATCAAATCATCATTATATAAGAAAAGTTTCATTATCATGTATCAAATCATCATTATATAAAAAAAGTTTCATTATCATATATCAAATCATCATTATATAAAAAACGTTTCATTATCATATATCAAATCATTCATTATTATATATCATAGCAATATGGTTTCATTATCAAATCATCATTATTGAAAATATTTTCATTATAAATAGGCTCTATAGTGGTAACCTTTATTGTATATATCCGTGGACCAATCTACATATTTCTGCATATAAAACAAACTTTCGTATTATTCTTTATTTTCATGCGCTTTTAATATATCAATCATATTTTGTATCCTAATTTTAATTGTAACTCTTTGTTAAGCTTATTGCATCATTATCTAGCACATTTTCTAGCCTTTAATTTGAATATTGTTTTCGGTATTCTGATTAACGTTAGATGATCACAATTTTCATTTTCATTTTTAAGAAAAATTTGCTTATTTTATGACGGTTTATCAGACTTCATATGATTTATGATTTAGACAAATTTTACTTAAAATAGAATTTTCAGCATTTAGTAGCTTTTAGCTGCTGTTAGGAAGCGATTTAAACTTACATTTGCTAAACCTATCCAAAATAACTGATTCGGTGTATACTTTAATCCAGGCAACTTTGGCTCTATTCCTTTATCTCTCACCCACGACTGGTAGGCCTGTAGGGAAAAAAGGAATACATTTAATTAAATGCCCCCTTCAAATCAAAATTAATTAATAACTAACTTTCATAGGAAAATAGTATCCAAATATAAATTTTGTATCAAGACAACAAGAAAATGTTTTTACAGTGTTTTATTAATTAATTTAAAGAAATTCTATCACTTTCTATTAATAAAAGTGTATTTTTTTTAATTTAAAATTTTCTTATTTGTAACTGTTATAAAATCCATGTACATTTGAGTAAAGAGAAACATTCAAGAAATGCATAAAAACACAACTTCAGAATTAGCCTTTTATTTAAACTTAAATAAAAGCCTTTTTATTTGTTCTTTAAACCATTGAAATTCTTTGACTCAAATGAATCTTATTGTTAACAGTTTAGTTCTGTTTCCTAAATGCAAAGTTTTATTTTCTACGTGAACATTTTCTGGATTTACTGTTTGTTCACCTGACTGATATGGAACATTTCCAATTGATTTAATTTTGTTTTGCAACTTTACTTTAACTGGTATTATTTTTTCGTTATATTCATTTACTGTGTTAATTTCATCCTTAATTTCTTGTTCTTCTTTCAACAATTCATCAGTGTCACTATTTAGTATGTTAATAATTTCAATTTTACTATTCAACTGTTCTAAATATGAATCACTACATCTATGTCAATATCTGATTCATTCAAATATCTGTTTATTTTTTCTACTAACTTTAAAGTTTGTTCACGATGTGTGTCACGCTTAGTTCGAAGCTTTAACAATTTAGCCATTTTCACAATTTCTAGCAACAAATTTTACCCCTCAAATACTTTAACAATAAATTCTAATTCTAGAATTCTAAGAAAACAAACTGTAATTTTCAACAACAAATCACACTTCAAAGCATTAACAACAAACTCTAATTCTAAGAAAACACAGCATTTTCTTACTTGCAAATGCATTCAGTAAATGCGATCGAAACCTAAAGTTGTAAATTTTTACCAAACAAGATCAACGGCATCAAACAATTTTACCACTTCAACAATTACAAAATATTCTATTCAAACAAATTTTCAACAAAACTATTTACTCACCCAACCATTACGATAATTCCCGACGACAGCACCACATATTACGAAGCGATTAACGATACGAATGCGAAGTTCGAAAGGCGAGTAATAACTTGACGATTCTTTTTCGAACGCTATTTTTATTTCGACGAGTTTGCATCAGTTTGCGTTCTCTATACTATGAAAAGTACGAACAGTCAGCAGTAGCTGCAAAATTCCTCTATGGAAGTGACGTATTTTCAGTAGGCGTGTCCGAAAAGCGTTGCACTTGAATACGATTTTGCAATGCAAGCGTGATTACCATGACAAGCGTTGCACTTACATTCGCCCCTAAATTTACATATTTTGTACAGTACTTTCTTGTTACAATGCTGTTCAATACGTTTGTAAATTTAACAACATTCTTTGCAATCACTGTGTGAGAGATTTCTTAGTTATGCTCTCTAATAAGAATGTTTTTAAAATTAAGTATTATGTATAACAACTAGAAATTAAAAACACTTGACTGCATTAAACTACTGTTGCTGTTGCTGTGTAAAATAAAAAATAAGCGTTTTCTGTTATGCTTTGAAATGAATTACATGTGGTTAAGTCGTCCTTTTACAATTTAAGAATATGGTTAACACACATTCTTAAATTGTAAAAGGACAGGTTTTTATTTAAATTATTAATATATAATAATATATAAACTATGAATTATTTTGTAACATGACTCAAATTCCTCCCCCTTTTTTTTTTTTTTTTTATTCGGAATTTATTGGCCCAATTCGGAATTTAAATTTCCTAAAATAATACTAGCTATTTTCTTACCAAATAAGCTGTTTTCAGTCCTGCTGTGTCCGCTATATTTTCTGCTTGCGTCTGAACGCCGTTTAGCTGAGAAAGAAAATATTTATAAATGTATATATATAAGGTATAAAAACAGGAAGAAAGAATATCTTAACAAATTAAAACTTTATTGCAACACATTGACTGTAGACCTTTCAATTACCAATTTTTAAATGAAGTTAAACACATTCAAGATATCTGCGTTGTCTCTGCAGCGTCCGCATTTATTTAAACTTTTGCCCAGTATTAATTTAAAGACTTTCAAAGATAAAAGTATCGCAACTAACTACGCATTTCCTTTCGCCACTTTGCTTTCCTGCTGCAATGTTTCGTTAATTTCTGCTAGATATTCTTCGCTATTTGGAATGTAATTATATATCTAAATTTTTGGGGTGAGTTTAACACCCCTATTATTGAACAAATTAAGACAATAATGTCGTCAATAATAATAAATTCGTCATCCAGAAATCCCCTCTTCAATTCTATCTCATATGGAGAACTTTCGTTTTCGGACTTCATCACATGTCAGGCCCAGTCGGGATTCTTTGAGGTTTGGTTTGGTTTGGTTTATTAGATTACGACAAAGCACTCGAGGGCTATCTACCTTAAGGAATGGATGCCTTCGTGGAGGACGTTTTAAGGGAAACTGGCTCGTATACACGTTACACATGGGAAAACCACGAAAACACGCATGAAGCCAGCCCGTTCGGGGGATTCGAACCTCAGACCGAACTACCAGTGTTCAGCGACGTTACCGCTCGGCCGCTGGTGGGCCGGGATTCTTTGAGGATAATGGTTAGAGCAGGAACGAATCATCCTGCTGAATGCTATGAAAAACACCAAAGTATCAAGTATCATCCAGAAATAAATGATGCTTAGCTACAAAGTTGGTCGGGCTTCTTCCGAAATTCCATTCGGCCATCCACTACACCGCTGTTTCCAGCCAGCTACGCAGCAGTTTTCAGTGTCATGACTGAAAAGTGAATACGTGGTTTTCCTAATACAGCTGCCATCTAATATCAATGTAATCAATGTGTCTACATCAGACTACATTATCACACACACACACACACACGCCGCACATATATATATATATTATATATATATATATATATATTCAAAGGCTCTTTTAATTATACGTAATGACACAATCAGACAAGAAGTAAATATGTCTGAGGTAAAGATGTCTTCTAAAATATTTCATGTGCTCGCTTTTTTCCTTGAAATACATACTGATCCATAAACTACAAAATGTCTCTTTTAATATCTGGTTTCAACAGTTCCATTACTTCTGGTAAATAGGCAAATGCAATTAATTAAACGTGCAATATAGTAATAAAAAGGATAAGTGGTTTTAGCAAAATGTTCTTCCAAAACCAAGAATGTTTTATTAGTCTTCGTGAAGAATTGTTAAATCTCTGGTATTAAACACAATTTCGTGCTCCGTTTTTTACTGAAGAGTCATTTTAAGTCCATTGCATACTTTGTAAATATCTAAAAGATATTTAAAAAATGATATTCAAATTTAAAAAAAAAAACTGTAATTTACATAAAACTTCTCAACATGCCATTTTCTTCCATAGTGAGTATATGAAAAGCACCTGAGTATAATCGTGCGAACCCCTAATTCATCACAACAAACCCCTCGTACTCTTGAAAAGATTTAGCGGAGATGTTCTGAGGATAAACTAGCGTGCGACATTAAGAACTCGCAAGGATATGTTTAGGAGATTAGAAGGATATTCTGAGGATGCGATAAGCAGAATTTTACACTCATGTCCATAAACTAAGGATAATGCAAAATCAGGCAAAGGAAGAGTTAGAAGCAAAACAAGTTTGACTTTTTTGTAAAGCTTATTTATTAAACAAAAGGTAAAGAGTAAAAAAAAGATGCTATATGTTTGCTATTATTAAAAAAATTAGCGATTTTGTCTCCCTGGAGTAAATTACAAAAAAGCCTATTTACAAAAAAAAAAAAAAAAAAAAAAAAAAAAAAAAAAAAAAAAAAAAAAAAATATTACATGGTTGGTATGATTGTTAATACATTGTATGTCTCCCAGACGATGCAATACAGTCCGTACAACGCCTAGACGTGCTGAGTATCAAATTATCGATCTGATCTTGGAGAATATTACACCACTCAAAACGCAGTACTCTCCAGAATTCCGATAGACATGTAGGAGGAGGTTGACGGGCTGCAACTCGTCGGCCAAGCATGTCCCACACGTGCTCTATTGGATTCGAGTCCGGTAAGAATATTGTCCAGTCCATACGGGTGATATCCTCCGATTGAAGGCATTCGCTTACGATGTTTGCACTGTGAGGACGGGCGTTGTCATCCATAAACACAAATTGTGCGCCCATGGCGCCTCGAAACAAACCTACATGTTGTTCCAGAATGACGTCCCAATAGATTTGGCTTGTCATGGTTCCAATTTGAACATGCAGGTCAGTTCTGGAACCCAGAATAATTCCACCCCAAACGAGCACTCCGTAACGGTGTCGTTCAATGATGTCGTTGCATCACCGTAACGGTGTTGTTCAATGATGTTTTCTTGGTGCTAACGGGTACCTGGAGCTCTCCATATGAAAGTCCGGCGAGAATCAGACTGCAAGCTAAACCTGGACTCGTCGGAAAACATCACACAAGCCCACTGTTGCGGTGTCCACAATGCATGCTCTCTACTCCAGGCTAATCGCAGGCGACAGTGAGTTGCAGTAAGTGGAACGCATCTGACAGGTCTACGAGCATATAGACCAATCTGTCCTAAGCGTCTGTACACGGTCTGCCTTGAAATTGTGGTACGAGTGGCTGAAGAGAGCTGACGAGACAGGTCTGAGGCTGCGCTCCTCCTGTTTCTTTTGGCAGTAACTGCCAAATACCGGTCTTCATTCGGCGTTGTAACTCTGGGGCGACCTGTGCTGTAACGTCTACTCACATTACCATCATCTTGGAATCGTTGCCAAAGCCTGGAGATGACACTCTGGGCAATTCCAAGTTCGTCTGATACTTCCACTTGGGTACGCCCGCACTCCAGACGGCCGATAATTCTACCACGTAAAAAAATCATCCAAATGTCTCCTTTGGGTCATAACTATTCGGTTATTGCACTGAAATGCTTATAAAGCGCCTGCGAACAATTTTACTTCTTTTGCCTGTATTCCTTATATGTCACTCTCTTACACTCTCGTCATTGTGACGTACCATCGGTGTCATATGGTTACTTCCTGAAATTTGCATTGATTCTTGAAGATGTGTGTAATGATTTTACAGGTGATATATTTATTTTAGAGTTCGATTTCCGCGTGACGTCGAATTATCATTAATTTATGGACATGAGTGTAATTCCTCATAGTATCACTTAAACTGTCGGCGGGACGTAGCGAAGATATTCAGAAGATATACTGAGATGTGACATAGGCACCCGAGAGAATTATTTATTAGGTTAATGGAATATTCCGGTATGTAAGACTTTAATATCCTGTGCTCTGTCAATGGAATCTAGCGAATATGTTCTAAGGACATACTGGGACATGACGTTAAGCACTCAAGTGTATGTGCTTAGGAGGATATTCTGGGGTGCCCTGAGGATATGTGTTTACGACGTGGGAACATCTTCAGGACTTCCTGAGGACGTTTTTGTTCTATGTGGGAGGATTTACAATAAACTCTCCAAACTTTTTGATCACCTTCATCTTCATGATAATTTTATTATGGGATAAGTAAATTATGTCTTTTTTTTTTCTTAAGTTATTTAAGTAATTATTTTTCGATGAAGATTGTTTTGCCCAAATGCCACATACAAGTATAATAAAATTATTTCAAACGATACATAAAGTTATTTTAGCAATGAGATTATAGAATACCTTTTAGGCCAAAGAAGATGTAAGTTATTTGAATAAGGCAAAGCAAACTAGAGTTATCTAACGAATGGAAGGAATGCCTTCGTAAAGGAACCTCAGGGAAAATGAGCTCTTATTAAAATTACTCATTAAAATAAAATTATGAAAGCCATCTATGGAGCCATCTCTTTTGCCTGGATTTGAGCCCGGAGCAAATTATCATAGCTTGTTACTTTAAAAAGAGGAACTTAGATGCTTTTTTCTTTTTTCTGCGGAACAATCTGACTCGTAACAATGAGAAGCCTAAGCTGCCGGAAGAAAGCTAAGTCATTTATTTTTTTCCCACACTTCATTTGAGTTTAGCGTGACTTGAACCACAGTCTCAAATAAGATGGAGAAAATAGATGCTGTGCAGTGGTGACGACGCGAGTTACGACCGCGAATGGGAAGGGATGGCAATAACCTTGAAATACCTATTAAAATAACCGATTATAACATACAGTGGTCCTAACCACTCAGTCACTGATAGTGGCTGACAATGAGAAAAAAGTCATTTAACCAAACAATAAATTTATTCGTTCAGTTTTCTTTTATTATATTGCAATACTCGCAGAAAATGACTAGAAATAGCTGCAGCAAACTTTGTAATCTTCTTTTAATACTCTTTCTTCCTATCTGCCAAACTAACGGTCTTTTACCACCTATTCTCCTCCCACAATCAGTCAATCAAGTGTGTCAGCAGTCAATCAAGTGTGAATGATGACCAGCTGAGCCGTGACCTTCGTAAGAGACTTTCTTGCAGTAGGCGCTCAATCCCGGAACGAATTCTATTGTTTGCTGGAAGAGTCCAAGATTTATAGGTATGGTACGTGAAAGTAGGGATTAGCTAAGAGGAGAAAGGAAAAGGAATTTTGAGTATAGGGATTTCAAGTCGTTTCCGGGAATTGAGCGCCTACTATGAACGGGCTCCTGCTTTGTGAGGGTAGCTAGCGTTTCGTTAGTAGTAAGTGTATTATTTATTATTCTTATTCATTGTCCTGCCCTTCTTTTTTTACAGTTACAATTTTCTACAATACCTTAAGTAAATAAAAACTTTACAGTTACGTATTGTAACTTCATGTAATACTCTGTTACTTTACCGTAATAACAGTTCTAATAAATACTAAATTTCTTTGGAATAAACAAAGTTATGTAATTTCGCCAAAACGTTATGCCTTTAAGCAAATTTTAAATAAGCGTACAATTTTACATTGCAAACACGTATTTCTCTACGAAATATTGTTTCTGTTTCATAAATTGATAAAAATTAATCTGTCCAATAAAACAATAATGTTCAATAAAACATGGAGCATAAAAATAAGCAGTGAAATTCCTTCCACGGTTCGGGAATAAGTCAGCGAGCATATCCCTTTTTTCCCTATTACCCACTGAAAGCCATTCCACGATCTAATTATTTCCGTTGGTAACTATTCCGGAACCTTTCCTTTCTATTCCTCTCACCTGCGTATATTGAACTCGCCCAGCTAACAATAGCAGGCGTTCTGAGATTGACGGTCTAGTCTTTCTTGCGGGGTTACGGTGTAACTTCACGTTACTAAAATTTGAAGAATTTTGGAAAGGTATTAAGAACTCATACTCAGTCCGAAGCTTGTAATCCAAGACATTGTTAAAAGTTGGTGTGTGGTTCAAAAGTTGAGGCGATTGAATATTTCCTTCCTGTTTTACAACATAATAATATATCTGACGCTAAGGAACTTCAGCATTATAATTCATGTAACCGTACTCATGAGAAATAGCTTGGTTATTAAATTTAATTTAGTATTTCCGTTGTGTTTTCATCGTTCTGTTTTTAAACGTTGGTTTTAAAAAATTGTCTCATATACAAATTCAAGGACATTGTTGGCCAGCAGTTTATTTCAGATGAAAGTGAAGAGTAACAAAATACAAAAATTATGCATTTTAAGTCAAAAATAAATTGCTTTCAGTTTTCTTCACATAAAGGAACTGTAACCCGAGTGCCAAATGTTTATGTTCCATTAACCGCTCAATCCAAAAGGGCAAGATTAAAGTGGTGTCACAGCATCTCAACTGGATTGTCTGAGATACGCTAAATGTTCTGCTCACGGGCGAGTCCAGATTTTTTCCTGCAATCTGGTGATAAGCGCGAAAGGTTTTGGAGGAACAAGGAATCAGGTCCAGAAAATCATCGAACATCCCGAAATCATAGGCGGCAGCATCATCGCATGGAATGGAGTTTCAATGCTGTATTACAATGGGCTTCACATTTTTAAAGACGGTTTAGTGATGGCTACGCGGTACTGGGATCACGCCCTACATACCATCATTAAATTCTGCGCTGCAGCACTTTATTTTTATATCTCCCTTATGCATGGTGATGTTCGTTCCCACCAAGCAATATGTTAATGAGTATCAGAAAAATGCAGCATTTCTCGCATGGAGTAACTGCCACATTTCCCCTTCCTTGTGGGGTCATTTACTTTCATATACCACAGTGGTGGAAGATACACTTGCTCAAACGACCTTTCCAAGTCAGATACATGCATGTTTCGAATGCAGTTGTAATCTGTGTCTCTGGGGTCCTTTAAAAAAGAAAATTAAACATCATTTTGAATAGTGCCGATCTTAAAAATAAATATTTCTTTCAAATCAGCTTGTGAATCCATGACTTTCAGTGCATACGCTGAACTAGGTGTCAGTTAGACCATTGTAAATTTAGACATGATTTGAAACTTTAGAGCAAATTGCTGCGAACAAACGTCTTATTCAAACATACATCAGAAATCACACCTGAATGCAATCTTATGCTACTTCATATTACGTCTTTATATAATCGTGCAGGAAAAATTCTATTAAAACATTACACGAAAAATTGCCTGTGATAAGATATCGATCGAGCATAGTGTCGGGAGTGAGATCTGTATCAATGAGTAGGCTGTTTTCAGGTAAAAAGTAATACAAAATATCTTACAGTTTGAGAAATTGAATCTTTGGATATTTGCATATTACGCAGTGCGACCAACTGCACTTGCAATTGTCTATACATCACATATCATAACTTTAATAGCTTATTTCAAGATTATAAAATGCAAATCGCTGCCTATGTTGAAGGAAAGTTCCTTTAAATTGGTATCCATTTTTAAAGCTGAAATGTGTAACACTCAGCACAAATCCTTCTAGTTCAATCGTCTCTTGAATGAAATCACCAGTCAATACATATCCTAGTTTTATTTGAGAAAGTCGTAATGTTTTTTGTATGAGGTTCCAGTATAAGCAAGGTAAAATTCTTACTGAAACTGACATAAAAGATGTATTAAAGTATCGAATGCATCATTCCTTAACGAATACCTCAGTTTTTTAAAGAGTGATGCACTCGATACTTATATATCCGCCAATTAGAAAAATAGGTTTTTCCTTTGCTTGATGTCATGAATTCAATATGTCTTCCTACCATAGTATCTTCTCTTTCTGTTGAGTAAAGAAAAAATAAACTAATATTTATTTCGCTTTCAAATTTCAAATCAAAAAATTAATTTCAGAAAAATTAGTCAAGAATCACAAGATCTGATAAAAAATTGAAAAGCTGTCAAAGCTTCTTTCTGTATCAAACCTACCATTAATCAAATGTCTTTTGCACTTAGTTTTAAATGGGTCTTTTAAGAAATTTGGACTTTTTTTGTTTTCCTCCATTTCCGGTTGATTTTCTCATTTCGAGGCGAAAGTAAATTTTTTTGCGCTTTCTTCCCTTCAGATTTCTCCCTGGAAATTCAACTAAAGACTATTCTATCTGGAAGCCCTACGTAAGAAAATCATCAGATAGCTGGAAAGAGCTGTGCTGTTTTTGCAGCTGAATGACGCGGAGCAATTACGCATTCAACTATCTTCATAAAAGTTTTCTTCATTTGATGAATCTAACATTTTCAAACGTAAAGCTTCATTATCTAATAAGATACTTTCATATATCAATAAACAAAACCAGTTCTTTTAGCGTGTGTCTCATTCTAAAATTGCACATACTGAGCCACTTTATTAATACGTCCTTGCACTGTATGAATGCTCAAGCGAATTGTCCTCATTATATCGACAGAAATTACTCCCAGATATTTACCTACTGCAATTGCACTGCATCAAGCTATTAATTAAAATTCTTTAGGAAATTGAAGGAATCAGTTTTTAATGAAATAAAATTTGTATTGAAGTGTTGTTTAAAAGTGCTTACGCAATAAAATTCTTCTAGGGCATTTTTATTGCTCACGTACTCCTCTACAATCCCTAATGGTCCTTGTATATGGAGCGCTACCCATAGCTCCTCAGCGCTCCTAGGAAAGAGGAAGGATAATACCTACGTTTGGAAACACTGAAGTAAAATGACAAACTTTGAGATTAAAGGTTTGATTGATAAGCCAGATACGTGAAAAAATTACGCGAGACTTTGCTGCTATGTGATAAAAAAACTAAATAGCATTTTGAAAACTGACTACGAGTTTAAGAGCAATATCTCTAGGAAACTTTGCCCTTCAGGCCTTTCGATTTATACACTATCTGAGATATACGCCCAGATATATTTTTCCTTTTATTGTTGCAGATAAAAAATATTATAATTTAACTTATATTGCTGTCATTTTGGCAAATTAATTGCGCTTAATGGTTTTATTGCTATGATGGAGAGTTCGTAAAATTATCTTCCACATATTATTAGGCAGATAACCTTAGTGTGCTTTGCCACAACCGACTAAATATTTTTAATTTAGTTCACAAACATATATGTACACACAGACAGAACGTGACTACTGAGATGGAATCTTACCTGCATTCCAATATCTGTTGTGTAATTACTATATTGGTTTATGATACATTCGGCTTTCTTTCTGAAAATCTTGTCTGCGTCTGTGCTCCACCAGTTGTTCCTATTACCATTTTTATCAAAATGTCGACCTATCATATTAAAAAATGCAGAAAATTAAATTTTCATTTAACATAACCTTGGAAAGAGCTTAGTTTAAACACGAAAAGCACGTTATACCGGGTGATCAAAAAGTCAGTATAAATTTGAAAACTTAGTAAATCACGGAATAATGTAGATAGAGAGGTAAAAATTGACACACATACTTAGAATGACATGGGGTTTTATTAGAGCCAAAAAAAAGTTTAAAAAATGTACTATTATCGGGCCCTTTTTTCTTCGAGAAAATGCGTGATTCTGGTTTTGTAACTGCTACCGTGACGGGTGAGAGGTACGCCGATATGTTACAGAATCGCATCGTCCCCAGCCTGGCTGATAAACACCTGCTGGAACGTACGATTTTTATGCAGGATGGCGCTCCACAACATATTGCTAGACGCGTGAAAGATCTCTTGCGCGCGTCGTTTGGTGATGATCGTGTGCTCAGGCGCCACTTTCGTCATGCTTGGCCTCCCAGGTCCCCAGACCTCAGTCTGTGCGATTATTGGCTTTGGGGTTACCTGAAGTCGCAAGTGTATCGTGATCGACCGATATCTCTAGGGATGCTGAAAGACAACATCCGACGCCAATGCCTCACCATAACTCCGGACATGCTTTACAGTGCTGTTCACACACAACATTATTCCTCGACTACAGCTATTGTTGAGGAATGATGGTGAGCATATTGAGCATTTCCTGTAAAGAACATCATCTTTGCTTGGTCTTAATTTGTTATTCTAATTATTGCTTTTCTGATCAGATTATTGCTTGTCTAATTATTGCTTTTCTAATAAAACCCCATGTCATTCTAAGTATGTGTGTCAATTTTTATCACTCTATCTACATTATTCCGTGATTTATTAAGTTTTCAAATTTATAGCGACTTTTTGATCACCCAGGCTCATGACACTTTTTTAATTTATCAATTAAATCTTCATTTATTTAAACTAGATTTTATTGGACATACATTAGTACCAACCGTTTATATCTATAGGGTGAATGTGGGCAAAACATTAGGGGGGGGACAGAAGGCAGCTTACAAGCAATATTAATCATAGAATGTATTGTCGGAACACAATCAGTGAGAAGTTAAGTGTAGTTTTCTTCTGTCACATTTAAAGAATCAACACAAGAATGAGAGGAGATGCTTCAGAAAACATTTTAATTAGCAGGGATATAACTGATGTACATGCTCAAAGAAATTCCTCAAAAGCACCCGTTTTAAAATTTATTAATTAAATCTTTATTTGCAAATTCTGTCACATTTAACGAATCAACACAAGAATGAGAGGAAATACTTCGGAAAACATTTTAATTAGCAGGGATATAACTGATGTACGTGCTCAAAGAAATTCCTCAAAAGTACCCGTTTTTTTTTTTTTTTAAAATTTATTAATTAAATTTTTATTTACAAATGCAGGCTTCGCACTTGCGGGATACTGACTGACCCATATTTGGAAAGACACCAGGTATTTACAGAATATCGCGAGGAACAATGACGATCCTGACGATTAGATCCATATTGGTTTCAACGGAGCACTCGTAGATTAGCCTTTTCATAAGACCCCCACAGGAAAAAGGTCCAAACACGAGAGATCCGATGATCTTACTCCGCAAGCTATGGGACTAGCCGCACCAATCCATCGCCTAGGAAACTTCGTGGTTCGTACAACTAAGTCATCCTCTCAGCAATTCACGGTAGCGGCTCGCTGTTTGCGTTCCGAGCATACATTCTAAGACGAATATTGCGCGTATAGCTGTTTATCAGCCCCTGAAGTTTTGCCCACTTGTTCAGTTTCACCCTGTATAGAAACATTTATTTACTATGCTTAAGATAATTCTTATTATGCAAGAGACAATGCTTAAGATCATGTATTTAACATGTATTTAAACATTCTTTATTAGCTAAATTTGCTCTCATATTTATTATTTTAGTCTCTATTTTCACAAACTTACATTATTAAGATGTCATTTATATTATTAAAGAAAATAAGAAAGCTAAATATATTTTATGACTTATGACTTACTTTTTTCTGGTCATTAACTACTAAGGAGTTTTCGCCAGTAGATCGCATTAAAGGGCACTAGGCAAATATATTTCCAAACAAATGGTACTAGAGAAGTACCAACACCCGTGGGCGAAGAAAATTCAGCTGCGCAAAATATCTTAAATTATAAGTTAATATATACTAATTGACAAAATATCTCATGACTGGTTAAAGCCGGTCATGGCGCTCACAGAACTAAATTCTGTTACAACATTAAGTCTCTTTTTCTGATCTCCTAATCCTTAGTTCCCTTCTGGCAGTCATCCTTTTACATGAATTATTTCATATTCTTCGATGCGCTAGTTCAATATTTAAATTCATACCAGAGAAGCAGTTGTGAAGAGGTTTCACTACCTGGTTTCAGAATGATTTGCTTTAGCAAGTCTATTTATCTTGCCTCTCTTTATTTATTTATTTTTTGGCGGTTTAGGAAACTTCCTTGCTGATATCTTTTTAATACTCTTTACTGACTCTCTTTACCGCAATTTAGGAAGATGTTTCGCTGATATCTTTTCAACACACTTTATTGCTAAACGAAAAATTCCTATCAACTGAAAATTTGTCTTACAGATAATTTTTTCATGTTGATAATGACTTCTTTCTACTCTACCTAAACTGCCGCATTCCTGTCATGCTGAAGCTCCAAGTATCCACTTTATAATGCATTTTCTCTTTTCTTACCGCGTGTCTTCATGGTGTAATTTGAAAACACATCAAGCTAGCAATCGGAAGGTCCGGCATTCAAGTCTCGTTAAGAGAAATGACGATAAACCTAAAAACTTTACATATGTACTGGAATTAAAACATGGTGGACGATAATTCGCCACCACCAGGATTTAGGGTCTGGTTTCCTGCCTCCCCCATGGCCCTTAAAGTCGGGGAGAATGTAATTCATTTTCTCCCTTCTTATGATGTGCCTTGGTAGTGTAATTGGAAAGCATGCCGGGCTGGCTGTTGAAAGATCCTGATCTCGAGACTCTGCACATTGCACTGATTGAAACCTTAAACACTGAACATTTTTCATGTTTTCTCTTTCGACAAACCTTATAACTTCACAGTTGCGCTGGAATTAAAAAGAAGTGGACGATCGTCACCATCAGGAATTTAGCTATTGGATCTCTGCGTCTGTGGCCTTTTAATTGGGGTAGAATGTATGGCATTTTCTCCCTCCTTACCAAGTGTCTTTGCAGAGAATTGAAAAGCATATCCCGCCAGCAGTCAAAATCAATGCCCAACACTGCACATTTTTTCATCCATTTGTTTTTTCCAGTTTCCTGCTTTGAGGAACATAATGACGCAGGAACTTTTCCATATTTCAACTTATTTTAAATAAATTATTTATTTAATTTTTAATAAATTAAATAAAATTTTTAATAATTTAAGGAGCCTGAAGTTTTCGTATTGACGATAGCACGTGATTATTAAATCCACAAACTTGTATTTTTGTACTGTGGCCAAATTTCCTTTGCTTTCTTGCTGTTTAGTTTGGCTTATTTGACCATTTATCGTTATTTAATATCTTTATTTTTTGGTTTAATTCAGCTTTATGGCTGTATATAATATTAATACAAAAAAAAAAAAAAAAAAAAAAAAAAAAAAAAATCTGAAATGTTTCAGATTTTAAATTACGTCCAAAGGGGCGTTTTTTAACATTTTGTGTGTTACCTTTCTTTATTAAATATCATGTTCCTCGCACTTAAAACATAAGATCCAGTGCAACAGCAATATCGCAAAATAGTTTTAAAACGAGCATATCTTTAGAATTTCCGATACAGAGACTCACGCGCTGGACGCTGGAGATAAAAATGTTTTTTCTGCACAACGTTGCCATTGCTCGCTTTGAAATCCTTGAGTTTGTTAATCAAAAATTCGTCAAAGTTTTAAAAAATAGGAAATCGATCATAAAACAAATTTCAAATTTCAAATTTGGTCTTCCACATGCTCATATTAGTTGGAGGATTACGTTATTCAAAATTCGATGACTCTATGTACCGTTGTTTTATCACAATACGAGAAATATACATACATTTATGCAGATTTTTTATTATTTAATTTCTTCAAATATAATGCAGGACTCTAACATTTTGTGGCAACAGTTTGAAAAGTGAAACCGACATTTATGAGTCGACGCAAAATCGCCGAAACGAAACTAATAGTCCTTCGGGATTCAAATCCCTTTGGACTAATAAAAAATGTCAGGTAGAATGTATATTTTTTTATTATACTCTTTTTAAACCATTTAAAATTGGGAGTTTTCTAGCATAGCAGAATACTCTGCGTATGATAACCCTGGTATGATACACTATTGAATTATTAGACAATTATTTCGTCTCAGAAGATGCATGCATATCTGAGCGTAATCGCTTGCTCATTGGAGATTACTGCTCTTGATAACTGTGCTATAAATAAATAAATTTTGAATTCCCTATTAAAACACTTTTAACAAACATTATATTTAAAGGTACATGTATGAAAGAAAACTGCTAACAACAACCAGGAGAAGCAATCGTTTATCCTCACGTGGATAAATCATGGCGTAACAGAATGAAGCAATTAGTAGGTGTTTTCCTTTACTTTTTATCTCATTTAGATGGTAAGAAGTAGCTTTGTGTCTCGTTCAAATAGTAACAAAGAATTAGTTTTTGTCTCTTTAAATAGTAATAACCAATTATTTTTTACTTCATTTAAATAGTAACAAGCAAGTTACTTTTAAATAACTTGCAAGCAACAGTAAATAACCTTTAATTTTTGTACAGTTTAAATAGTAACAAGCAAATTAACTGTAATAAATAATGAAAGGATTGACACTCATTATTGCTCCATATTGTAATTCTGATGCACTTTCGAAATGGTCTAATTGTATTCTCTGATTAAAACTGAATGGTCTAATAAATGTCTAATAAAATTGAAATGGTCTAATTGTATTGTATCTAATTGTGTTGCAGTTTCACTTTATTCTAGACAAAAAACTACAACTAATTTTGAACTGTTTTAGTTACAATATATATATATATGGCACATAAATAAAAAAAAAAACATTGCGTTTATTATCCTATCATATAAAGGATATAAAACAGGTTTTTTAAACTGTGGGTCGCGACCCCCAAGGGAGTGGCGGGACCTGCAGCAGAGGGTCGCCAAAACTTTTAATAGTTTTGATATTTCTTTTAACTTATTATAATAATTTTACAGTTACCAAAAATGCATCTGAAAATAGATAAAGATAAGACATTACAAACAAAGAAAAAAAAAAAAAACGAAAAACGTTTCGACACGTTCTTTTTTATATAAACATTCATTTTCCTTGCTTTGCACGTGACGTTGTCATTTCGTCTGTTACTTATTTAAAATTTTCACAATGTTCTGTTTTAAAATTAGAAATTAATGACCTAAAACTTCAATAGTATATTACAGTACAAGTGAAAAAATTGACAGTTTCACTTACGCTTGTGTTGGATTTGAAAAATTTTTATAAATATTATGGGGTCATGGGGGTCGCGAAAAAATGTCAGTGATAAAAAGGGGTCAGGACTGAAAAAAGTTTTAAGAAACCCTTAATATAAAATACAATATGGCATGTTATTTTCATGATATGTAAATAAAAATAATATGTTAGTATCTTTGTTATTTTTTATGCATTTTCGGTTTGACCTCATTGTATCTGGGCAACTGTTGCACTTTGTATTAGACAAAAAATACAATTAATTTTGGAACTATTTTAGTGATACAACAATAAAAATTTAGTATAATGTTTTTATTCATGTACCATATAAATAAAAATATCACTTTCATTATCGTGACATATAAATGACATAAAATATAGCATGATATGATAATAAGAAACGTTTATTATCATGAAGTATAAGTGATGTATAAAATGTAGCTACATGATAATAAAAAACGTTTATTTTCATGACATATTATTAACAAATCATTTGTTAGTACACTTGTTATTTTTTTTATACGTTTTCGATTTGAACTCCTTGTACTACGTTTGCTTGAACGATTTTGCGGAAACGTTTGCAAGTAGTTACTTTTATAACTGACCAAATCTATTTTCGAGTCGAATTTTTTAGTTTTAGAAAAATTCTAGAAAATTTAGAAAATTCGAAGTCAGTACTATTAATTTTTAAGATAACCGAAATGTACAAAGCCCCTGCTTGCTATCAGTTTATTTTATGTAACGTTAATATAAATCTTTATTTTTCTCCAGCACCCTCTTTCAGTGACTAAATTATTTGATAACTCAGTTGATGTAAAGTGTAAAATCTGCTGTAGAAGAGTAAACTTTACCATTACTATCGAATCCATGAGTAATTTCATGGCCAATGAAATATCCAATGCCTCCAAAATTAAGATAGCTGGAAAGGAAATCGAAATACTTTTTAGTTTGAGAAATACAGGTTTTCGTAACATTTAAGATTAAAATGAAGGAAGTCATAGTTTAAATAAGTATCTTCCAGCTTAATTTAAGTTTACAAAAATGTGTAAGATTTATTTATAACTTACTATGGTCGATCCTTGCTGAAATTGGGAAGCTGTATAGCTCCTGCAGGGAATGCTGAAAAAAGAAATGTTAACTGAAATTCTTTTTATTTAGATTTGTCAAATGCTAATACGAGAAGGGATCATGGCATGGTACCAGAAAATGTTAAATCTCTTTGCAGCATGGGAAGTTATGGCAGAAGATTATTGTACTTGAATACTACACTTAATAATAAGTGAATTTTAATTTGTTAATAGTTGTTCCTGTTTAAATTGGAGAGTAATTAGATGGATGACAATGCATTTCCATACAAAGTACAGTGAAAAGTCGTTAATTCGGACACCCATAATCCGGAATGATCCGGACCTCTAAGCTAAAAACTTTCTGCGCATGCGCCGCGTCGGCACATGCGCACAGGCGTTTTACGCGTGCGCGTAAGAAAGACCTTTGACTACTGCGCATATGCGTGTGCGCAAGTGCAGAATACGTTTTTTCGCCTGCCGCGTGTAATGTATATAACGGATGGTGTAAGCTAAAATTATCTAATTATCTATTTCAGTTTAATGTTAATGATTGCGTTGTTCCTTAATCTTCGAATTGGATCCCGCTTATTATTTTTTGCAGACTGTAAGAGCAATTTTATAAAAGTAAACTTGAACTTTTCGATTATGTCAAATAGAACTTCCGATGCTGGAACTTCCAAAGGATCTACAAAACGAAAGTATGTTTCGATGTCCAACAAACAAAAAGTGGAATTGCTGCAAAAAATGGATAAAGACATGAAGAATGTGACAGAGAGGTTAGTGAAAACGAAAAAATTTCGATTGACAAGTTAGTCGGTATTCTCGGCACAGCAATTAACGGGACTTGAACAGCGGAACTTTGTAACTGAACAAGAAATTGTCTTTTTATAGAATTAAAGAGAAAGTATTATCACATAAAATGAAGCAACTTAAACAACTTACATTGAGAGAAATGTTTAATAAAGTAAACAAATAAATATTAAGCTTTTTTTTTTTTTCTTTCTTTTTTTTTTTTTTTTTTTTTTTCTTTTTTTCTTTTTCCTTTTTTTTTTTTTTTTTGTAAATTTTGATACCCTTAGATCATAATTGTTCTTTATTCATAAATTACGGTTTCATATTTTAATTTTAGAATTTCTGCATGCCATCTTACGAGATTTAAACTGATGATCTATAATCCGGGAAAATGGATAATCCGGAATCGCCGAAGTCCCGACGAGTCCGGATTAACGACTTTTTGGTGGTTGGTGGCTGTACAAATCTTTACCACCAACAATTCAAGATAAAACCGCTTGATTTTTTCTGCTTATTTTCTGGTCTATCATCCTACTGAAGATCAGGAACTTAAGACTACATTGGAAGAAGAATGGAAAAGATTCTGCTTCTTCTGAACAATTCTGTGGTAAGCAAGTAAAATCAATATAAAGCCCTGGAGTTTGAGCAGCCCATACTACCAACTAATGTTCTAAGGTCTGTTGTCATTCTTACAAGAAGATTGCACTTTAGTGATTACTTACGGAGGCTAAATTACTCTTGTGATTTTGACTTTAACAAAACCACCATAAGTTTTCTGCTGGATATTTGTGAAGTTTCGTTCTCTTTGAACAATGTCTACCGCTATATACTCAACAAAATCTGCCACTTGATTAGCAAATTTTAAGCAATGTATTTCAATCACAATTTTACTATTCTGCAAGTTAAAATTTTTTTAAATCATTCCTATTTGGAATTACTGTAATACTAATATTCTTCATATTATTCTAATGTTTAGCTTAATTGTTCAAAAATCACATCCGAAACATTGGTTTCTAAAAGGAACATTAATTCAAAATTAACATATATTTCATAGCTAAAGATATATATTTTATGTGATTTGTAGCAAATTAGAAAAGATCACAATGTAAAATTTGAGATTTGTTCAATACGAAATGTATTAATTTTTTTTCCTAACATCTCTAAATGATGGATAACAAAATGAGCTATTTCCGTTTGAACGAAAACGTGTCATCCATAAATTCGACGTCAGAATCCTTATTTTCATTTAAAAAAAAAAACTTATTTTAAAAAAGAACTTACTGAGATACAAAGTTACTATATTTACTCCAGCTTGGGGGGGGGGGTGGACTATGCTCCCAATCTTATTCGATACTGACGTTTTGAGGATTTTTCTGTCTTCCGAACGAGATCACGAAATTTTCTGTTTGCTGAATTAGTAACTCTTACTGCTATTGATAATTAGAAGTGGCAATATTTTAAAATTTCCAATTATAGACTAATAAATTTATAATAATGATACCAATACAATACTTTCACATATTCTGTTTTCTGTTTCTAATTATGGGGTTAATAAATTTATAATAGTAAAACGTAGCAAATGAAAACTCACATATGCTGTTTTCTGTCTTCATATAAAAGGCATTTACAATAGTCGCACGCTCTGCAAATTTGTTCCACCTGTAAATAAATATTTACCAACACTAAATGAAAGTTTTAACGACACTCTTCTGTCATGAAAACATTTACATTTAATTTATTGAATCGTACGCGCGCTTGAATGACAGATGTAAAAGATGTATATTGGTATCTTTTCGCTTAAGTTTCAGAACACTTTGAACACAGATACAGAATATTACATACTTCCTACACAAGTTTAATGTACATTAATCGGTATTTGTATTTCATTGCTTTAGTTCAGTTTTGGAATCATTAATTCTTAAAATTTCAGTAGGATACCATAATTTATTTTTACCATTCTTTGAATTCTTAAAATAGGCAGATGTTATATATATAATTTTAATCTTAATCGTTATAAGTTTTAACTCCAACATCCACTTCTGATGCTTTTTAGTCCAAAGGGATTTGAATCCCGAAGGACTATTAGTTTCGTTTTGGCATTTTGCGTCGGACTCATAAATGTCGGTTCACTTTTCAAACTGTTGCCACAAAATGTTAGAGTCCTGCATTATATTTGAAGAAATTAAATAATGAAAAATCTGCATAAACGTATGTATATTTCTCGTATTGTGATAAAACAACGGTACATAGAGTCATCGAATTTTGAATAACGTAATCCTCCAACGAATATGAGCATGTGGAAGACCAAATTTGAAATTTGAAATTTGTTTTATGATCGATTTTCTAATTTTTAAAACTTTGACGAATTTTTGATTAACAAACTCAAGGATTTCAAAGCGAGCAATGGCAACGTTGTGCAGAAAAAACATTTTTATCTTTAGCGCGTGAGTCTCTGTATCGGAAATTCTAGATATGCTCGTTTTAAAACTATTTTGCGATATTGCTGTTGCACTGGATCTTATGGTTTAAGTGCGAGGAACATGATATTTAATAAAGAAAGGAACACACAAAATGTTAAAAAACGCCCCTTTGGACGTAATTTAAAATTGAAAACTTTCAGTTTTTTTTTTTTTTTTTTTTTTTGCAATCATATAATTACTGCTATATGTTCGCTTAGTAAAATATAGCTAATCAGTAAATCTGTATTGTTTATCCTCGTGCAATTAAGCTATTACGCTTCAGCTACGCAATAACTTTCATATCTCAGAAAAGTATTTTATTTCTCTTATAATTAAAACAATTTAATAGAAACTTGCAATTATCTGTAAAGAAATACTTCCATGATCGTTGCCTTTATCACATCTGTAATGCTCATTGCGGAGTCAGAATAAGACAAAATAAAATTATTAAGCTCTGTCAGAGTTATTTATAGTATTAGGTAGATGAGAGTGTCTTAAATATTTGGAAATATCCATATTATATAATGCACGCAAAACGATTTGATGAAATAATGATTTAAATAAGTTAATTTTCTTGTTTGATCAATTAAATAACACAAGCAATATTCCAAGTTATTTACAGTGAAAATAGTGTATGTCTGCAAATGAATAATATTTATATTGCTTAGAATTAAGAAAACATTGTAAATGTTTAAATTTAATTAGGTATATTTTTTTCAGAATAAACAGATAATTCTTTCCATATAGTAAACGATTAAAATTAGCAGTAAGACATTGTATCATTGGTAATTGCAATTTTTATGCATAATACTTTAGATTTTAATTTTCTTTATTTTTGTTAGTAAATTTTAGGAAAACCACATTAATAGGAATAAAATAAGTAATTACTAATAGTTAAAATTGTACGTACTCTCCTCTTTTATTGGGTTTCCTAAGACGAGAGAAGGCTTCGTCAGTTACCCACCTGTTTACGTTCCGCATGTTGTCGAAATAACTTTCATTGCCTATAGTTAACTGAAAAACAAATTAAATTGTAATGGTATAATTTCCTTAAAAATCTCTTGATTTTGTAGATGGTACCGGCAAAATTATGAAACACGAAATTCTGTAGAATACCTAGGCCTTTTATAGAACGCCTGGCGATTTTAAGCAAAGCATGAAATATGAGAATTATATACTTTAAACCTAAACATTATATATAACGCATAGGCGTTCTGTAGCATGGCAAATGCTCTTTAGGCAAAGTATAAAAAAAAGGTTATTACAAAGCTATTACTTAAAACATGTTCATTCTTTTAAAATACAGAAGTTGTTTTGAAAAAATAATGAAAGAGTGCCATTAAAAATTGTTATTAAAATACATAAAGGAAAAAAATTATACAAAAAAGAAAATCTAAAATGTTTCAGATTTTAAATTACGTCCAAAGGGGCGTTTTTTAACATTTTGTGTGTTACCTTTATTTATTAAATATCATGTTCTTCCCACTTAAACCATAAAATTCAGTTCAAGAGCAATATCGCAAAATGATTTTAAATTGAGCATATCTTTAAAATTTCCGACGCACAGTCTCACGCGGAGACAAAAAAAAATTTCTGTACAATGTTGCCATTGCTTTGAGTTTGTTAACCAAAAATTCGTTAAAGTTTTACAAAATACGAAACTGATAATAAAACAAATTCCAAATTTCAAATTTGGGCTTCCAGATGCCCACATTTGCGGACATTCAAAATTTGATGGCTCCATGTACCGTTGTTTTATCATAATGCAAGAAACATACATACATTTATGCAGATTCTTCGTTATTCAATTGCATCAGTTTGAAAAGTGAAACGGACTTACAGAATGATTCGATGCAAAATCGCCAAAACGAAAACAATAGTCCCTCAAGGACAAACCCCCTTGGACTAAAAATAAAAGTTGTACTAAACAAAATGTATACCTTTCTTATCAAACAAAACAAAATTTGATGGCTCTAGGTACCGTTGTTTTATCACAATGCAAGAAACATACATACATTTATGCAGATTCTTCGTTATTCAATTTCTTCAAATATAATACAGAACTGTAATATTTGGTTGCATCAGTTTGAAAAGTGAAACGGACTTTCAGAATGATTCGATGCAAAATCGCAAAACGAAATAAATAGTCCCTCAAGGACAAACCCCCTTGGACTAAAAATGAAAGTTGTACTAAACAAAATGTATACCTTTCTTATTAAAGAAAACAAATTTTCATATAAAAATAAGAAATTAAAATTAACCTATTTGTTGCAACATGATAGGCCTGACTGAATGACATTTTGAATTCACTTTATTACTTTTTTCGCACAAAATATTTCATATTTCGGCACTTTTTTTTGTCCTTATGCTTGACGAATCCTTGGCCACTTCCATTGGACTTGACTTAGCAATTGGCCAGAGAGGAATTTCGTGGTCAGGAATATCTTCATTTCTAAGTAAGTTTTCAGAACATAAAATGAACTGCGATCCCGTATGAAGTTGATTTAAAATTCTTACAGAAGTTCAAAGTCGGTAGAAACTATCCTGTGTCACACTCACTACAACTGTACTTGTCCTAGGTACTGTATATAAAAGGAGATGTATTTGAAATTTTACCGGTTTGTCATTAGACACTGTGTGATACCTTTAATCGTTTCGTGCATTGCCAACCAGTCCTCGGCATTCTATAAAACACCTAGGGGTTCTATTGAATGTCGGATTTCATGCTTTGTCGATAACGAAGACAAAATTTATTTTTAAAAATTCAGTAATAATCTTTAAATACTCACATTTTTATAATACTCGGAGACAATAGAATCATTCATAAGTTCTTTGGGATATCCAACAAATGCCATTATAGCATTAGCCTGCAAAATACGAAAAACATAAAATCTGAATTGTTTCTTCTGAATTTTTCTTTCTTTATAATTCAGTTTCTGAATTGTTTCTTCAGTTACAGCAGCGAATTGATAATTTTAAATGTAGTTAATGGCTGTATATTGAAAATATATACAAGTTGTAAAGTCATTAGAGGAAAAAGCAGAGGATTTGAAAAATGTGAATGCCCTCTCCCGGGACTCGAAGCTGGTCGTCTCGAATACGCGCCCAGTGTGCTAACTGTTAAAAAAGGCGACTGGGAATTAGGGGATCAGAGTCCTATGTTGAAATGGCGTATGTTGCAATGAGAGACGTGGTTGCAATGAGGGTCTGGGAGATTATTTTTTAGTGGTGTGCATGATAGAAGTAAGGAAACGATGATGCAGTGTATTAAAGAGTGGATTGAGCCTTGTACAGCTATTTTTTTGGATGGCTTGCAAATCTTACAAGGATTTAGAAAAGAAAGTTTTGAACATTTATTTGTGAACCAGTACACAATTTTCTGGATAGTGTGTCTGGCTGTCATATAAATACGATAGTGATTACGTGGCGGCATGTTAAAGGCGGTATGAAATTGGTATTTCTGCTGTTCGAAAAAGCATTCATTCATGGTAAGTGCATTTTATTTTATTCTTTTCTTATTTTGTACAATTCTATGTTCATTGTTTTTTAGTACGAATTTCTGTCGTTATTATTTTTTTTTTGAATTGTTTGAAATTTATTTTAGTTATTTTAGTTTATTTTGTTGATTAGTGCGTAGTGCCTAGATTGTGCAATTCGTAGATGTTTTTTAAAGTTGAAACAGAACGCTGTGTACATGGTATTCTTTGAAATTTATAGTTCTTATGTTCATTTATTAAAGTGAGGTGTGCGCAGTTCGTAGATTGTTTCGCTGCCTAAATTGTGGAATTCGTAGATTTTTTTAACTTATCGCTGTTTACATGGAAAGTTAAAACTTATCGCTGTTTACATGGATTCTTGTCAAATATTTTTGGTTAGAAACTTTACGTTTTTGATATCTAAATTTTTTGTTTTTATTTCGGATTTTTAGCTTAATTTGTGTGTTCAAAACGTGGTTTTTGCATGTGCGAAAACCGTGTTTTTGGAAACATTTTAGGCTTGAACAATTAGAATGAATTTTAATTTACAGAATTTTACTATTTTCGGTTATTGATAAAGTACACTAGGTTGGAGTGGAAATATAAAGAGTTCGTATTTCCTCCTAAAATTAAAGCGATGAACTAGATTGATGTGTGTAGATGGAATACTATTCCCTTAAAAGTAATTCATTTGATTTTTAAAGGCTAAAAATGCGCATTTGAAAATATCAAATGTCCAGCTGCTTTCACATTATTCATATTAAGTTTCTTATAGCCAAATGAAATCTAGATACTCTGATATAATCAGTGTAATATTTAACAGTGGTCCGTAAGTTCCTACCCATTCATATACTCTCTTCATTCATTAATGGGATTAAACCGGCCATTATCTTCAAAAGGACAAATACGCTCTTTAGTCGTAAAGGGCTTAAATCGGCCATAATGTGGAAAATAAAATAAACTAAAATTTATAATACATGCAGGCAAAATGATTGAAGAAATAATGTAGCATATCATAATAACATATGAATGCGAAACCGTGCTGTGTTGAGAAAATTTTTTCATAAAACATGGCGCCACCTCCTGCCCAGACAGGAAAGTGGTCAATGACTCTGATTGTTGTACCGAAGGGCACCAGATTCGAATCCTGGAGGAGGCATGAATTTAGTTTGTCCGTGCTTTCATAAGAGGCAACGGTGGCCTGCCTATTAGGTGCCTGACCAGATAAGCATTGAGTGCTTTGTCATATTAAAGGGACCACTGCTTTCGGCCTTAGTAGTCGCCAATGGCTATAAATGGCTACAACCTGACATTGGAGGGGAAAATGGCGTCACTTAATATTATAAGTAGAAATGAAGAACAATACGCAAATTCACTGGATAAATAAGGTACATGAATAAGTAGAGATGAGTGGACCGACCTGTGCATGAAATAAGTAAACAGATATACTTCAGATAAAAAATTAAACTTTTGAAAACTTAGTGAAGGTACCCGTTTCACATTTACGATTGTTATTGTAACTAGCTTCTCAACGTTACAATTTCATTATAACTGAAAACATTTTTCGTGACAGTGTTTTTCGTTACCAGAAAATTTAGTGCAATAAAGAGTTACTTCTGTATTGTGAAATACAAATAATATAAGCAAAAGAAAAAAGAAAAATATAATAAAACCTTTTCTATAGCTTGCGTTTTAGTGTCTTCGTCCAACCACTCATTCTTTTCCAGCATATTTAAGTATTCTTTACGTATATAATGAATCATCTCTACAGCCTGAAAGAAATGAAATGGTACTTCTTCACGCAAAGTTACGTAAAAGATGGATATAACTTGTTACCATAAGAGGCAACGTGTGCCTCTTACGGTAACAATATATTTTTTTTAATTGCGGAAATACCTGAATGGTTATTGATGGCGAACTTCAGTGAAGGAGAACCCTATACTGATACAAGTGATACATCATTTGAAATTTATAATCAGTTGCAGTTTATAACCAACTGCAATTTATGCAGTTAACTTTAAAAAATCGTTTGTTTGTTGCAAGGTGAAGAGATATTTTTTCCAGTGCAGAACGAGCATTTGTGCATTTTGTGAAATTTAAGGGTTAGGTTTTACTCATGGTTAGTTTTAGGTTAATTTCTTTGGTTTATGCCTTGCTTTGTCATGAACCTCTCATATCGGACGTTTATGCAAATTGTATGCCAAATGGCATAGGTTAAATCTAGGTGTAATCGTAGCGGATATTCTGAGTAGAACTTTTCCTACTGTAATGCTACTTGCTCAACGAGCCACCCATCAGACAAAGAGGCTTGAGCGTCAATGCACCCACCAGCGGCCGAGCGGTAAAGACGCTGAACACTGGTAGTTCGGTCCGAGGTTCGAATTCCGCGAACGGGCTGGCTGCATGGGCGTTGTCGTGGTTTTGCCCATGTTTAACGTGTATACGAGCTAGTTTCCCTTAGAAAAACCTCCACGAAGGCATTCCTCCCCTTAGGCAGATAGCCTTCGAGGCTTTCGCCATAATCACACACGCACAGCTTGAGCGTCAACATTAGTCGAGTTCGATAAATGTAAATATTATTTTTCTATCTGATGAAGCGTTTTGTAATTTCAGATAGTAATTCTTGGTACTGTAAACCAGACTCATAGCGTCTAAGGAACGAGATGCTGCATCGACTGGGAAATAAAATGTCTAAATATTTGTTTTGAACTTTTTTCAATTCCTCGATCAGTGGGGGAAATTGATTTAAATTTTGCCTTTTAAGGTAAACATTAGAAAAAGGTCATACTTCGCCAACCATAATTATTAACTTCTAAAGTTTAGCCGTCAGGATACGTTACAAATAGTTTTAATTAAGTAGACACTTCTAAAACATATAACACTTGAAAAGTTTTTAAAAGACGTTTTCAGTGAAAACATTTCTAACCTCAAAAACACGCACAATTAAAAAAAAAAAATAACTTATATGATTATTAATAATATAAGAAAGCTTTACGCATATTGCAAGAGACATAATAAGATTTAATTTTAAAATTCTAAGGGTGTGAGCGCTATGTTTTGCCCAGTATAGTTGCAAAATAACTTAACTTCATTTAAGTATGAAGATTATCACCAGTTGTTTTCTAAATTTAAAGAAAATTTGTTTTTGGTCTTTTGCTTTATATGATTATTTTCAAGAATTTTATATTTTATTAGTGTTCCTATAAAAAGACTTTGTTAGGGACACACAAACTGACTTATGTTTTTTTCACCATCCCGCCTTCTAAACTGTGACTTATGCTGAAATATTGTGTCTTTTAAAATTACAAGTGTTTCTTAAAAAGTGTGTTTATTCCAGAACTTTGTACAGTGTGAACTGTTTGTGAATACTGTTAATTTATATGACATTTCTCGTACGAGAACTCTTGAAATTCACCAGAAATATGTTACTGTTGACTTATTCCTCATTTGAGCCACTCCCACCAGTATAATTACGATCCATTTCATTCTGAACCTGTTTCAAAAGCATACTTAATTTAAATTACTTAATGTTTATCTTTTCAAATGCTTTATTAAGCAAACTTTTCAGCTAGTTATATCTTTTGTCACAGCTCGAACAGCTCCCAGATGCTTTTTCACTCTACATACCTTTGTATTTGCTTCAGCTTCGCTATAGTAGGCGCGGCGTTACACACCCATTTTTTCAATTATATATACACAAACGCCTAAGGGCATTTCTTTCAAAAGCGGTGGTTAAAGCAGCAGAGGCTGCTAATTGCCTCCTAACCATTCAAAAGACAAAAAGACAAATAATGAGGCATTTCAGCGGTTTAAGGAACTTCCTTAAACTATTATTCATTTATTTTATTTAATCATGATTATTATTCAATGTTTTAGTGTATTTGTAAACATTTTAGTACCAAAGTTTGAACGTGAACGTTCCCTATCAGCCAAATCGCTTCAATCCTAAAAATGAGTTTACCAGATTATTTCTCCGTTTACGCAAATTATGAAAATGAAATCTTTCCCATCATCAGGGTCACGTCACGTGACCAAGAAATCTCAAATTTTAATATTCTGCATATCTAAAACCCTGTGTAAATAGTGCATATTTTACCGTGAAAGACCGAAAATTGAGAATGTCGACTTTCACCGGAGAATGTCAACATTCGCCAAATACGTCGATGAAAGATCGAATATTTCTTTACATTCTTGTACATTCGGACTCTCACCGGTGTATGTCGACAATCACAGATATGCTCTGGTGTAGGTCAAAAAGAGAGGAGTATATGTACACGCTGCCATTCCAAAAGGAAGTGTTCCACAAATAAATGCAGTTGTAAAAGCAAGGGCCTCTTGTGCAATTCAAAGTGTCATAATAGTTTAAGTTGTTGCAATAAATAAGATTTGAATCACATAATTTGGTAAGTTTTTTATAACTTCTATTATTTTCCTTTCTCATTTTGAATGTACTGTTTCTTTTAAGTTCTTATATTCTTAAGTTCTTATTTTGAGTCTGAAGTGCTTTTTTTCGCGAATGAATTACGGAGAATGAAATATAATATTCTTATATGTTCAACATTCACCATTAGTACATGGTGAATGTCGACATTCACCGGTTGTAAGTCAGAAATAAGAGTATTTGGAAAATATTTCGGACATACACCAAGCGACTACGTGAATGTTGACATTCACCGGTGAAAGTCTACATTCTCCAGATTTCGGTGTTTCACCGTAACATATATATGAATTAGAGACTCAATTTCAAGACTTTAAGAACGCTGTGCTTAATTCACTCGCTGATAATAACTTTGTGAATTTACTAACTTAGTTTTAAACTCTTGACTTTGCCAAAACAGCAGCGTCACTTCCGGAAGTAAGTTGCGATTGCATCGTAATTCAAAGAGTTTCCGTGATTGGCCTTAGAGCAATAAACTAAATCGACTAGTGAAAACTCATAGTAGTTGAGGCTAATAGCAAAGTCATGATCCGTCGTTCGTGGTGAAGCATTTTATATTTAATCTTTTGTAATAGGATAGCTCGATTATGATCATGGATCAGTGGTTTCTAACTTTTTTCTGCCCTATGCATCTCTTTCATAATTGCTAGACGAGAATTACCAATCACCTTTTTTCTGAATTCGAAAAATGCATGTACATTTATTTAAATCTAAATTGTTCTTAATGGTTTTTAAAAATTAAACAAGAAAAGTACAGAAAATGTTGATAAAACCCAAAACTAGAATAAAAGTATTTTTTCATATTCGTAAACTAAATATACTTTGTAGGGTTTATATTTATTTTAACTAACATTTATTTTAAGTTTAAACTATCTTTCCTGTCAAGCCTTACTTTCCCCTGGAATTGCCAATGCCAGAGTATGTAAATTTTAGTAGAACGCGCAAGGATTCAAATTGTCAGCGGATTCAAATTGTCTGAGTTAAATAGAAGGGAAACGAGTTCGAAAGTGTGCTTTCTTGCTTCACGAGCGTGGAGGTGGCTAGTTAGAAATTGAAGAACCACGCGTTTCGGCCTGTGTGCTTGCCTCAGTAGATAGTTAAATCTTTCAACGTAATATTCAGAAGTTTGCTGAATCGTCAGCGGTATCTTAGAACGCAGGTTAGGTTAGTTACGTTTAGAGAGCCTCGTACTTAGTCACTTGTTGTTATTCCTTTTTGAGTTTCTTATTTTTATTTTACCGCCGGGTCGGCGTAGTTTATGAGCGTCAAGAGCACGCATCTGTAATTTCTAAAGTTGAATAAAAAGGGATTTAAACCCTTCTCAAGACTTTGTATACTTTCCAGTTCATAGCAGTCACCACTATTGTTGGGTGCAGGTTGGGAGCGCGCGACATTACAACTTAACAGTTAAATAAAATCTGATCACATTCCTTCCTGAAACTATGAAATCCCCTCTAGAGTAGAATTTCGCTTGGTTTAGAACCCTGCATTACATAAATTAACAGGTAACGAGCATTATTAACATTTACAGATTCTACAAGTCAATCCAAATGCACAGATTATAATGTATAATTCCTGTTACTGATAGTAGGTAGTCCTGGGTACTGAAAAGGCAGAATTTTGTCACTTACGCTATCTGTGTTTTCCTCATTAAAGTAATGTCGTACATATTGGTAGCCAAGAGCCAGTCCTAAATTCCAAAAGAAGGAATAGAGACAAGTATCCCAGCGAGGGTCTTGTTTTGTTTTACCCGAGATGACTGAATGAAACTCCTCGAACAGATTCCTCCAGTCTTCCGATAGTCTGGGCATAGATTCGTGAACAACCCTCCATATCATGTAGTTAGCCACAACCTAAAGAGATAAG